TGTGTGTGTGTGTGTGTGTGTGTGTGTGTGTGTAAAGTAATATACTGTGTGTGTGTGTGTGTGTGTGTGTGTGTGTGTGTGTAAAGTAATATACCAAAGCAACCCGATACACGGGAACCTCGTGATTGATTCACTCACCTAATGCTGGACCGCGTTCCCCCGTTCATCGGTCTGTCCCATGCCACATACCATCAATAGCCATGGACAAGTCCAAAGGCCAATAGAAGAGAAGATGGTGTGTGTGTGTGTGTGTGTGTGTGTATCATGGGTGTGTATAACATGGCAGCCCCATAATCATGGGGAACCAGACCATCCTTCAGTCCAAAGGTAGCATCACATAGTGTTAGCTGCAGGCTTAACATAGCACAGGTTAGGGGGAAGGATTATCCCATAGTCATCAACTCCATAGGAAAGTGGAGGATTAATTAGGGGGGAGCAGATTAGGGTGTTAGGAAGAGCGGGGAGCAACGATGGCATAACCATCAAGGTTGTAGTGACCAACAGAGGAGGGATGACACGTCCCTTCATACGGTTTTTGGCACTTGCTCCCGTCAAGGCTCATTAGAAGGCGAGGTGTTCCCATGCGCCCGGCTAAGATACCTATGGAATACCACGATGCAAAGGTCGTTAAGGCAAAACACAGTGAGGGAGATGACGGCGAGGTAACAAGGCACTGGACAACAAGAGGTTGCAAGTCACGTAGGGTGGAGGACATGGGGGAGGAGGGCGGGCAGGTAACCAACACAAAGCAAGAAGCGAAAAAGGCACGAAGTACTGATACCAAGTTGGAAAAACGGAGAACAAAAAAAATAAAATAAACAAATGCTGGTGGTGACAGACTGTTTCGCCGGAGTTGCACCGACTCATCAGGAGGCTGAACCCTCGACAATCTGCGGAATCTCCGTATTTGATGGTTTGGGTCATGAACCCTTTGGCCCTTGTTGAAGGCAGACTGTCCCCAAGCGGAACATAGCAGAGGGCAGCAACCTTGTGGAGCACCAGGCAACACAGTAGAGGCAACACGGCTGCACAACGCCGAAAACGACTGCAGGGAACGACAAGGCATGCAGCACATGCAGCGCGGCAACTGTTGTAGTGAAGCACAAGGCAACACAAGGCAACCACACTGCAAGGGACGACAGGGCGAGAGGACCAGCAACCCGGCAACTGTGGAGCGAAGCACAAGGCACCCGCAACAAGGCAACCATCGAGCAAGGCCCGCAGGCAGCAACCACGGAAGGCACGGCCAGCGAAAGGGCAGCAAGGCAACGGAGCAGCGAAGCGCAAGGCAACACCAACAACATTGCCACACCACACAGCGAACACATCAACCTGCAAAGAACCACATGCGAAGCAAGCGGGACAGGCAGCAGGGCAGCAGCGGAGCGCAGACGAGGCCGTCCACACATCCAACACGGAGAAAAGCAGCGCATGACCTACTCACATCACGATTGAACCCCACAGACTGTTGGTTCCCACCACCCACTGAGCCAGGGAGTCACTCTGACGAGCATCCGTCATCACGTACAGGCAACACAGACATCCCGAACTGAGCGGCCCCAGAAGAATGCAGTAGGCACTCCAAACGAGGAACCACCGACTGTTTGGCACTACTTAAGGGTGCTCAGTTCGGTAAGAAAAAATACTTGGAAAAAATATCAAAGGGAGGACAGACAACAAGAGGAAAACAGACAGACATAAAAATTGATTTATTTTTTTTTTGTTTTTTTTGTTTTTTGTTTTGTGTGTGTGTGTGTGTGTGTGTGTGTGTGTGTGTGTGTGAGAGAGAGAGAGAGAGAGAGAGAGAGAGAGAGAGAGAGAGAGAGAGAGAGAGAGAGAGAGAGAGAGAGAGAGAGAGATGTGTGCGAACACGTCATAAATGCTCCAGTACACAATAGGTGCACTCCTCTTCATCTTACTGTTAAGCGGGATGCTACCTTTCGGGTTCCCGCTCATCAGAAATTAACTCCGACAAAACAGTTGCCATACACTTCATCAACCAGTGCTCAACCACGTTGTTACGCACATCATCAGGGGGTGTTCTAGGGCACGGTAAGACAAGAAACTTGAAGAAAGTGGGAGGAGGAGAAAATAAGATGAGAGAGAAGCCAAATAAGGAGAGTAGAATGAGAGTGAGTAAAAGCTGTATTCTGATGAGTTGCAGAAAGGGTAGGCTAGAAGATCATACAACACAGCCCAAGGCAGGGAAAAGACAACAAACTGCCAACAAGAATCAGGTAGGAGAAAAAAAAGGCAACAGCATTGAGGCAACATATAGGCTGGAGGGCACGGGGCAGGCGGGAGGGCAGACAAAACATAAGCACACAAGGCAGGAAAAAGCCAACAACCAGCAGACGAGAAAAGCACAAGTACCGAAAAAAACAAAAACAAGAAAAAAAAAGCCAAAAAAATAATAAAAATAAAAATAAAAATGAACTTTAATGAAGACGATAGATTGTTTCGTTGGACTTGCACCGACTCACCAGGAGGCTGAACCCTCAACAATCTGTGGAACCCCAATATTGATGCTTTTGTCATAAACCGTTGAATCATATAGAAAGCAGACTGCATATAGAAAGCAGACTGCCAGCAGGCAACCTCACAAGCGGAACATAACAGCAGGCAACAGCTCAGCAAAGCACCAGGCAAGGCTGCCGGAGCAACCCAACTGCACAGCGTCAAAGGTAACTGAATGGAAGGACAGTGCAAGCGGACGGGCATTATGGCAACAACACAGCGAAGCACAAGGCGACACTGCCAAAGCAGCCAAACCACACTCAGTCTGCTGCATACAAGTAAAGTGCCTGGGAACATAAGGCACATGGATGGGAAGCAAGGCAACAACACAGTGAAGCACAAGGTGACGGAGGAGGGCTTAGGCTCAGATGTGTGGATCCATTTGCTGCTTCGGAAGCACCCGTTAACAAGCGGGAGGATGTAGCCTGTATGATGGACGGGAGGGAGTACCTGCAGTAAAGGTTTCGTGCTGATTGTGGAAGAGCAAGGTGCGCGAGAACTGCCGTGTGTTTGTGTGGTGTATGTTGAGTTGGACACTACAGCCTTGGAGGGGTGGGGTGGATATCACGACCGGTATGGTTCCACTTTTGAACACCGTGTCCACGCTGCAGTGGTTAAGATACCTGGCTCTTGAGACCAAGGTTGCCGGTTCGAATCCGTGTTTGCACGGAGGAGGACTTAGGGCTCAGATTTACAGATCCATTTGCTGCTGCTGCTACACGGTAAACACACCCGCTGCAAAGAACAACATGGGGAGCAAGCTGGATGGGAAGCAAGGCAGCAGCGGAGCATAGACAAGGCAGTCCACACATCCAACACCGGGCAAAGCAGTACATCACGTACTCACACCACGAGTGAACCACCACCTGCTGAGCCAGGGAGTCACTCCAACGAACGTCCATCATCACCCCTATGAAACACAGATATCCGGAACTGAGTGCCCCCCCAGGGACTCCAAACGAGGGATGACCATCTATTTGGCACTGCTTAAAGGTGCTCAGTTAGACACACACAGAAAGTACTTAGGAAAGAAATACAAGGCAGACAGGTGAATAATTTTTTTTAACAAAGACATACAAACATAGAACGACAAACACAAAAATTAAATAAAACTAATGTTGTCTGTGTTGTAAGCTGTCACCCAACAACCCCTTTTACACCCAGATGAGCAGATCCAAAATTTTAACAGCTTTACCCCTTCTGGATTTTTTGGGGTTTTCTCTTTTGTTTCTTCTTGCAGCTCCCCTTTTACTGTGCCTCTCATGTACAATGCTTGCCACGTTGATTGTGCGTGTGTGTGTGTTTGTGGGTGTGTGTTTGTATGCGTGTCCATACGGAAACTGGTGTTCTCTATGTCATCAGGGATATTCGGCACTGTCTGTGCTTCTAGTAATGCCTAGTGATGCCAAGTTGGTGGCCTGTGATGTAAATGAATATACAATGAGTATTGCACGGCGCTACTTCGACGAGGCCAGTGTTTCAGATAAGGTGAGCTGTGGAACACCCCCCCAGAAAAGAGAGAGAGAGAGAGAGAGAGAGAGAGAGAGAGAGAGAGAGAGAGAGAGAGAGAGAGAGAGAGAGAGAGAGAGAGAGAGAGTGACCAGCAGAGGCCAAAAAGGTCGAAGGACTGAAAGGGTGGCCAATGGGTGTTTTACGTCTGTACGTACTTGGCGGCGGAATTTCATCGCAATACTTATTTCTCATATCCAATGCTTATTTCTCAATTGCCATGATAGAAGAGTAGAGCAGAGCAGAGACAGTAGATCAGAATGACTCGAATGAGTAATGCTTTTGTTTTTGCAAATGTCTGGGAAATGGTTTGGAAATGAGTTGGGAATATGATTTGGCAAAGATTTGAAATGACATGCTTATTGTTGCTGGACTTGATAACACCCACGTTACGGATTTGAGGTTTGTAACACTACAGCCACACCCCTCGCACACTACGTTAGCACAATCGGCAAACCGTCCACAGTGAACTGCCGCGTTGTGGACCTTTTTTTCAAGTGCACTGCTCAATCAACTGGTGTGCCACTTTGTTGACTTTTTGTAGTTCAGTGCACAATGCCCCGCATATGATATCTAAATTCTAATGCACTGTGCAACGGCATGAACACGCAATGTGCCTGCCAAGTATGATGATACAATCCTCTCATTGAAACTGGTTTTATTGAATTTATTCCCCTCTTGATCTGGGTTGAGTTTGACCTGAATTTATGCCAATGCGGGCGGGGGAAGGGGGAAGGGCAGAGGGGGGAGGGGGGAGGGGGGAGGGGGGAAGGGGGGGTGCCTTTGTACTGCCATAGCAAAGTTAAATCAGTAAGAAGAAAGGCGCTGTCCATTAAAACTTGTAAGCACACTGGCAGGTGGTGTTTGCTGAAGCAATGATGATCATGAGCTGACATTTTTTTTTCTTTTTTTTACAGAACAGACCCTTGTGTGAGCTAGGGGCGCTGGCTGGTATGAGCAGACGCCTCTAGCTCCCCCGGGAGGGCTCCATCTATTGGTGGGGAGCAACACCTGCTGGAAATCGGGTCCAGTGTCCCATAAACAATAGCCGTTCCAATCCATCTGAGTTTTCCTAACTGCCTGCCAGCATTGATTGCCCCGAACACACGGGATTTACTGCGCAGGTAGATGAATACCCAAGAAAGGAGGGAAAGGGGGGCTCTTCAGCCCTGCTGCAGGGCGCCGGCTTACACTAGTAATGGTTCTGTCTTTTTCTGAGGTAATGATGATCATGAGCTGACGCTTCCATTGTCCCCCGAACACAATATCAGGACTGTATCTGGCCGGAAAGTTAGCTTGTATATACACATAATGAGGGGTACGCTGTATTCGGGTGAAGACGTCAGCGATGGTTCTCTGTCTTTCTCTGAGGTAATGACAATCATGAGCTGACACTTGTGATGGTTCGCTGACTTTTACTGAGGTAATGATGATCATGAGCTGACACTACCTTCTTCCCCCGAACAGAACGTATGGTCATTTTTGCTGCATCTGGACTGAAATGTGAGCCAAATGCGGCCAGAATGAGCGTACAATATATTCAGGGGAAGACAATCGTGATGGTCCTTTGCTTTTTACTGAGGTAATGATGGTCCTTTGTCTTTTACTGAGGTAATGATGGTCCTCCGTCTTGTCATCGTGTGGCTGTACACTTTGCTTCTAGGTTGACATTAGGATGGGTGACGCAACGAAGACATTACAAAGCCTGTTAGATAATGGTGAGGAAAACAGGTAAGTGGTCCGTTTATGATGTTCTTATGTCAAGATCCCCTCTTTCCCCTTTTTCTTTTTTGCTGTTGGTACTTATGTCAAGATCCCCTCTTTCCCCTTTTTCTTTTTTGTTGTCAGTACCTCCCTCATTGTTTTTCTTTTCCTTTTTGAAGTTTTTCCCTTTTGTTCTCCTGTCGTTTCTTAGAGAAGCATTTTGTGCCTGCCTGTTGGCTGAATGATACCCACATGTAGCTGCTGACAATTAATTCAATTTTTTTTTCTCTCTCTGTCTCCTTTTTAATTAGTTTGGACCTAGGCTACCAGCCGGGCCGCCCGGGTCACCCTATTTTCTCGGACGGCCCGCCCGTGCAAGTACCAGGGAAGGTCCTACCAAAGAAAAAAAAAAAAAAAAAAAAAAAAAAAA